AAGGGGTAGGTATCTTAGATGAATTATATATCAAGAGAACTTTAAAAATATGTTTACTAAAAACTTCCAAAAAAGGGGTAGGTATCTTAGATGAATTATATATCAAGAGAACTTTAAAAATATGTTTACTAAAAACTTCCAAAGAAGGGGTAGGTATCTTAGATGAATTATATATCAAACATTTCATCACACTAAGTCCATATCAAATAATGCTCTAATACTCCATCAAAATATAAAGTTAAAAATATTCTTTTTAAATGTGGTAAAAAACACAATACTAAACATCCCCGTGATCTCTCTTTCACCTTGAACAAGGTTTAGAATAGAAATTAACGCTTAATAAACGTATGCGCTGGTCTAGATTTAAATTAAATAAATCTTTAGCGTTAAGGAATTAATATTAAAAATTTTAAGGTATTAAAATTTTTTTTTTGAATAATACACCTTTTGATAAATAGCTTTACTGAAAATTAAGTTATAATACCTGAGGAAGTCTGTGGAAATCTATCCATCTATATTTTCTTTTACTGCCTCCCCCCACTCCTTCTATTACCTAAATTGAACTGATATCAACACTACATTTCTAAATTTGATCACACATCAAATACACATTAGATTGTTGTAATGTCGTCTTCCTAAACATAGTTTTATGTCCCACTGTTTGTGTGTCTATGTCTATATGTTTGTGAGTCTATGTCTATTTGTACAATAAAAATTCAAATTATGTGTTGATTAAAGTCTTCTTTTCTTGAGACATATTTATATTTGTATGTATGTATGTATGTATAGGTGTATGGGTGTATGTATGTATGTATGTATGTATGTGTATGTATGTGTGTATATGTATGTATGTATGTAATATGTATATATGTATGTAAGTATGTATGTATGTATATTTCCATGAACTGCGCTGCGTTAAACCTCTGTTGAATTTCTTTTAAATCTTAAAAACTAAATATCAATATTTATTACCAACAATTCTTACCCCCTATTATTGATATTTGACCAGTCCCATTATTTGGTACACACTTACCTTCCTTCCAGTAATAGGATGCCTGCCATTTGGTACACACTTACCTTCCTTCCAGTAACAGGATGCCTGCCGCCAAGCTTCGTCATTTTTAATTTTTTGATTGTATATTTTCCATCCTCGGGATAGTGAACTATCCTCCTGTAGTCTATTTCACGAGAGGCTCTAAACAAAAACAAAAGTGCAAATCTTTTTTACAGAAATATTTATTAATTTTATTTTGGACCCTGATTTTCTAAAGACTGAAGTAATTTAGACCAATTATTAAGGTTATATGTATTTATATTTTATATGCAAAAAATGTCAGCTAATTTAGTCCACCTGTTTGGCCAGCTCTAACGAACATAAAAAAATATATGTATCTGAGCAAAGAACTTTACTATAAATATGTTATGCTAATTTTTTTAAAGGATTTAAAACAAAAATTACATACAGTTAGGGCCTTAATCGTTTTTTGGTCTATAAAACAAATTGCTCAAAAGAATAACTGTCAAGATAATTTTTCAACCAATTTGGTTCCTACTGGGGGCCTCTTTACTAGTGGGAGCAAGATTTCTTGAAACATTCATTATCGGTTGTTGAGAGAAAATTATCTCCACTGGCAACCGCTTAAGACCTGAGAGATCAAGTGTCATATTAGGAGACCAACCGCCGTGAGCGTTACACCAAATAAATAATTTATAAAGGATACAGAACAATACAATGTCGAAGGTATTTAACAATTCCAAATTTTTCTACAACAAATGACTGGAAAAATCTGACCATGATGAATAGCACAAATGTCTCAGCATTGACTCCAAGTTAGGATAGGGTCAACTTTGAAGTGTCGCAACGCCTTGGGCTTTAATTTTACCGCTCTAACTCACTTATGATTTTCTGTAGCCCCTTCACAAATAAAATTTAACATTGCAAAGCACTTCGGAATCAACTCCTATATCTTACAGGAGTTCCCTGAGTAAGTCCCAGCCTTGTGGTTCCATCAGACTTCACTCCACTCTCAATGGATTGTGTGTTTATGTATTGTAAATTATATCATGTTCACAAAAGCTATAACCTCAGGTGAACGTCTGAATATTTCAGATAGGATGTTCCCAAACCTCTGTGTTAGTTGAGGGTTGACTTTGGTCAGTTTGTTGTTATCCTCGTCCCTGTCTACATTCCATAACAGTCAGTACCCACTCCATCGCTTGCAAGCTCTTCCCGCCCATCTTGGAGAAGAGACCGGACAAAGTCCTGTAGCATTGGAGGAGATCACATATATCCGTACAGGTACGACTGTATATACCTTTTACCTACCTTCTATATAATTCCTATATAGCATCATTTCATTCTTAGGCTTGTTGTTAGCTTTGGTTTTTAAGAACTAATTGGCAAAATTATCATCGATTTTTGCTTGAGAGCTTGAGATCTTTGAATCACAGTGACATAACAACAAGCATCATCAGTGGGTACAAGAGGTCTCTATCCTACATGAAGATCGACAACATCCTTCTTATAAACTACAGTTTCATTCAACACGAGTACTTCAGCCTTGGTAACTGTTAAGACAATATACTCAGTCCTAGGGGTGGAAGGGCATTTTAAGATCTTAAGTGTACTGGACTGGTGTTTGAATTCGCACTTTGGTAGTAGATGCACATAAACAAATAATACATCCTAATGAGTACAATTCAAATATTTTAAATAAAAATAATTCCAATGTATTTTTGGCCTAGCTCCTAAACTTCATAAAAGACAGAGCCTGCAAATTTTAAAGTTTTCCATAAAAACATTACTTTTTTGTACTGTTTCTTAGTCCTACCCGACCGCCGACAATAAAGGTTCTACAATCCCTTCCCAAGGAAAAAAAACTTACGGGGGGGGGGGGGAAGGGAAAAAGTGGAAAGAGGGAAGGGAAAAAATAGGGTTTGTTTTTTTTATCTGCTAGTTTTGGCACACACTATAAACTATGCAAAACTTTTTTGAGGAAGAACTATGATAATTTTCCCCCAAAGGATAAGTGAAAAGGGGAAAAATGGAAGGGAAAAGGGGAAAAAGGGGAAAGAGATAAGGCAGAGCTGTAAAAAAGAGAATTTATTTTTTATCTGCTAGTTTTTGCTCACACAGAAAACTATGGAATACCTTATTTTTAGTGCACCAAAACACTCCATTGTACGTCAAAAATAAAAATAAATTCTCCGACAAGAGGGGTTTAGCCCCCCTCCTATTGCTGCTAACTTCTACAAAGCTACATTCTTACTCTGCATTTCAAGCTTACTTAGGATTCTTCTTGTAGACTATTGAAGTAATGTGAAGTTCGATCAAGGTTCTGCCACCATGGATTGCTCAAATAGTAGGAATTCCGGTGATCTTTGATCTGAACGTCATCATGGGTTTTATCCATGACAATTTCCTTCAAAATGGACAAACCGGGAGAATTTCAAAGATAGAATTTTTGCTCTTATTCAACAATTATACACCGTTAAAATACTACCATGTCTAGCCAGTCCCTCCCTTTAACTGTGGTGTTGCAATCAAAGCCAGTAATTGAAATCTCAGGTATTAAAAAGGGTTCAAGTACAAGAATCAAGTTTAATTTTCTTTTCTTTTACCATTAAACTTATTTTTGTTTAGTCTGAATGGTTGAGCTGGAATCTGAAAACCATAATTTTTTTCTTTCTTTTCTTACACCATCAAGCTTTAAAAAGTTTGCAATTGGAGAAAGCGGATTTAGAGAAGAACATGATTGATATGTAATCAGTTGTGAAAACAGTGATGGTCACAACCTAAGTTTTTATCTCACGTACTAGTGTGTTCTGTATTGCTTCTGTAGTCATCGAATTCCTCGTCACTACTTAAATATGTTATTGTAATCATCATACTTGTTGAATAGTCAATTGTAACGGAGAATATTTTGTGCTTTAATGACCCAATATACTTTTAAGAATTATCCAAAAAAGCGAATTTACAGTTTTCTTTATCTTCTCCAATTTTACAAATCCCCCCCACCCCATGCACAGGATAGCAGGGATGGGTTGGTACCTAGTAGCATTCGCTATTAAGAAGGCTATCAGATAGATAGATAGATACCTTGGATCTATAAGGTTTGGGGTTTTGTGTTTGTGAGGACAAACAGGACTATTAGATAGATAGATAGATATCTTGGATCTATAAGGTTTGGGGTTTTGTGTTTGTGAGGACCAACCGGACTATTAAATAGATAAGATACCTTGGATCTATAAGGTTTGGGGTTTAGTGTTTGTGAGGACCAACAGGACCATTAGATAGATAGATAGATACCTTGGATCTAAAAGGTTTGGAGTTTTGTGTTTGTGAGGACCAACAGGACTATTAGATAGATAGATACCTTGGATCTATAAGGTTTGGGGTTTTGTGTTTGTGAGGACCAACCGGACTATTAAATAGATAGATACCTTGGATCTATAAGGTTTGGGGTTTTGTGCTTGTGAGGACCAACCGGACTATTAGATAGATAGATAGATACCTTGGATCTAAAAGGTTTGGGGTTTTGTGTTTGTGAGGACCAACCGGACTATTAGATAGATAGATAGATACCTTGGATCTAAAAGGTTTGGGGTTTTGTGTTTGTGAGGACCAACCGGACTATTAGATAGATAGATACCTTGGATCTATAAGGTTTGGGGTTTTGTGTTTGTGAGGACCAACAGGACGTTCTCGTTTGAAGGTAAAATCTACTTTCAAATCCCTGATCACAAAAATCATATTATAATTTCGTACAATTTTCAAAAGTTCCATTTGCTCAAAAAAAGTTGCGTCGACTGATTTAAAAAAATTAAATTTAAAAAAATTATTATTTATTGAACGTAAATAAGCGAAAAAGATTTGTTTTCTTAAAAATTTTCATCACCAAGAGAAATTCGATCAATATGATTTTATTTAGTTTCCTGACTTTAAATCTTTTTTGTTGAAAGTCGGCGGCCGGCGCTGTTTTCAAAAGTTCATAACCTGAAAATAATAGAGTATAAAATTAATCGATGATATTTTGATTACTTTTCCAGCGACTATCATCATATTTTAAGCAACTCTTCGGTTAAAAAGATTCACAACTTTTATCTGATCAACTATGTGGAAGATATGGTACTTTTTTTTGCTGAAAAAGTGTTTGATTCTGATAATTCTTACATTGTTTTCCTGCTGTAGATATGAAATGTGCAAGTCACTTTTAAAGAGAAACCATGATTTACAATATTTCAAAACATGGTGGTCCAATAATCTAATTCATTCTTTATCAGACAACGCTCTAAAGGATTCCGTTGTGGATAGTTTACCCTCCCTATAGGAAGGACTTATTTGCAACGAACTTAATGGCGATTTTTAAAATATTGTGTAGTTTTGTAAACTAATAAATTTTTCTCGACAAATTCGGTGACGTATTTTTTTTGTCGAAGATTTTATCACTTTAAAAAGCCGTCATGTTGTTTCAACTGGGCAGACGATTTAAAAATTCAAGAAGATACGTCTCAGATCTAAGCTGTTGTTGGGGCTTATTTACGGCTTGGGCTTTCGGTTTTAAGTTGCATCTAATTTTCCATAGAGTCGAGTTGATAAGACAGATTTAAAATTGTATTAGGCGGATTTTCATGATTGGAATTGGCTCCGCATTCCAGGTTTTGATGAGAATAAGACTCAACATTTAGCCTTATTCTCCACTAAAACCATCCAAGGTCGGTTTTATTTTCATTGGGCCTAACTCGGCATATCGTATCTGTCAATCACGTTACTCAAGCTGTCGTCAGAGTTGAGTCTAAGATTAAAGATTGGGTTTTAAAGCTGGGTTTAAAGAATTACGACCCGAGCCGAAGTTTTCAAATCGCGGTGCTCTGGTTTAACTGCAAGAAACAAAAATAAATAAGTCGAAAATTCACTAGGGCTATTTTTTTTGTAACTGGTGTGCTTTGACAGGTGTACACAATTCAGAATTTCTTCCAATTAAAAAGTTACAATTCCACCCCCCCCCCCTCCCGCCTCAATGCCAAAATTATAAATAAAAACTTTAGCTGCAAATGTCAGAATATATTTTATTTTCTTATTAAAAAAGTATTCCTAAAATAAAAAAAGTTTTTGCACATGGAAAACCTAATCGAAACTTTAATTTTCATGCGATTTAACGACATCAGCGTGTGACATCTTGCATTAAATTTGAAGTTGCTTACACAAGTCGATAGAAAAATTTAAAGTTTCTGATTACATAATTCTAAATACTCTTTATTTATATGATGGCATCTCCGATTCAGAACGGCAAAAGGGTTTGTCTGGTTTTTATGTGTTTGAAATCTGTTTTTATAGTTTTTTTTTTTTTTGCTGAAGTGACTCGATTAATTCTAGCTTCAAAAATAATAGAGACATTATCAAAATTTAATCCTTTTCAAGCCGAAAAAAACTACAGTTTCTACCACATTATTGTTCAGATCAAGGGTGTAATGGCACATGTGAATCTGGCATTCAGTTCTTCAATTAAGGGTCACTCAGAGGTAAATATTTTCTATAAAAATCATTCCCCTTGCATTTTTATTCCCCCCCCCTCCCCCGACCCCCAATCTCCAAATATTACCACCCTTCATAGTTTTTAAAATGTACGATTTCGGGAGTTAAATACCAAAAGTAGATTCTCCTAAATTCATCAATACAGATCTTCTTGTTTCCACTAGTGCACCATAGCTAGCGGATATCAGCCGCTGAGAGATTCTAGCGGTAAACATTTTTGAACACTTCCTCTGAAAAAAATCCGCTTAAAATAGCAGCTAACACTTGTGACTACTACTAGGAATGAACTTGTGAACATTGAACAAATTTTGAAATCAAATATTTTGTGCTATTTAAAAAAAACATCATTATTTCGAAATGTACAATTTCAAAAATAATAAAATATATGAAAGGCCAAATACAATCACATGATGGAACAGAGTGGATGAAAATTACATAAAAATATCACCCTGTACAGTGTGACAGAAAAGTACACTTAGTTTATTTCGGTTGCATTGAAGTAAGTAAAATTTAGAATTTTGTAACAAAACATCACATTTATTAATTATTTCCAAAAAGAAACACTGGTTTTTATTGACTATGATTAGATTCAGATCTTGCATGTTCAGATCTCAAAGATTTTGTCTTAAGATTTCGTGGTTGAGGATAGATCGGTTGATTAAGCTCAAAACAGGAGTCCATTGAGTACAAATAGGACAGAATGTACACTGTACAATTCATGAAGTATAGGTACAGGTTAGGGATATGTTTATTTTATTGTTATTCATGAGTTTTGGATTGTTAAAACACACACTGCAGTACGTTTGATGTTTAACATTACAGTTCGCTTAATGTACAACAATGCAGAACACAATATGGAGAATATGATAGTACACTTAACGTACAACATTGCAGTACGATTGTCGTTACACAAGTATTTATTTTCCCAGATTCTCGTACAGTCCTGGTCAATTAAATTATGGAATTATTAGTTGAAGCAAATAAAAACCCTATTCATCAAAAAGCTTTCACTAACGGATTGTTAAACAATTTTTAAAATTCGCACAATAGAAAACTGTCGAATAGGAAGACGACATTAAGGCAATACTGAAGTGCATTTGATGTTGTTATAAAGCAAAAAGCTTTGCTATTAAAACACTCAGTAAGTTTTTTGAGTCTTTTTACACTGCACGATTGCAGTGCCTCATGTTCATTGGACTATTTGAGTCATAACTAGTCTAAAATTCGACTTTCTATTTGAGAGTTTTCTGGTTATCACTGTATGAAGGATGAGATACTTTCTGCATTTTGTCCAAGTGTAATTGGTAGCACATTGAAATTTACAGTTTATCTAAATTAAGATAGCAATAGCGCTGGTTGTTCAAATAAACAAGGGAATTGAGTTACGATTTTGAGATGTTGATGTCAACTAGGAAAGCTGTAATCCGTAAAATGTTTCTTCTGCTAGAGTTCAGAATTTGTTTGTTTCCGTTTTGATTGCGTACTGTATACATACAAACATAGTACAGACGTCCCTTCTCGCTACTCAACTTGCATATGCCAGTGCTTAGGATCCGGATCTTTTGAATTCGCAACATTTTGGCTTCCTGGATCCGGATCTGGATCCGCAAAGGTATCCACGGATTCGGATCCAAGGACAAAATATCAACCATAAACTGCAAAAAAATCTTTTGCTCTCAAATCTTAAATCTGAACCGTTAAAAAAAGAGATCATCAAACATGTCCTTTTCTCTGAATAGTTCATCAAGTTGTTGCATAACAATGAAGTTAAAAACTAAGAAAAAAAGGTTGAAAATTCTTCTTGTTAAAAAAATCAGTAAATTTTTAATAATTGTTCGCGACGAGGGGGGGGGGGTTGCAGAAGTCCTTAGTAATCACCGCCACCCAAACGTGTTTTGCGGCATGCGAGCTCCTCAATAATTTCCACAACTTCAATTAGTAATCAGAAATAAAAATGTTAAGTCAAGTCATTTATTTCATAGAAATGAGACCATATTGACCTCTGTTAATGGCCCTATGGTGTACAATATTCTGAAAGCTTTCTTAATTGCTCCTCAATTTTGAAAATAAATTTATAAATATGCCACATGAAGCGCTAGAAATAAAATTACGTTTTTGAACCTGTACGCGTGCGCGCTCCTCAATTGCAATTAAGCACTAAGAATAATTATTTAACTTAATACTTCATTTTCACTAGTGGGTGGGGTTTTTCTAAATTTGTTGTTCTTTCTCTGCATGTTATTAGTTTTGATGTAGATGTTGAACTCGAGTAGACCAATAGGAAAATCTAAACACTGAAAAGAATTGTTGAAAATATCTTTTAAATGGAGTATAGATAACAGGCAGCCCGACCTTTTAGAATCTTAACTCCACTCATGAAATGCAGTCATTATATCAGCGAATTGGATCTAAGATTCGGCTAAAATAAACTATGCCTTGTTTCTCAGTTTTTGTCAACCAAACCAATCTGAAAAACTAATTGAAAATTTAGTTAAGCTGCCATGAAACCCCCGATAGATTTCGAAAATTGTGTCAGAAACATCAGATTAAAATCTCAGGAAACAAGATTTTACAGTGATTACAAATTGAGGTGGTGGAGATTACCCAATTAAGGAGCGCGCATGCCGCAAAAGACGTTTGGGTGGCGAAGATTACAAATTGAGAACTTCTGCGCTCCCCCCTCTCATGACCGTGATCCGGATCCATTTTTTCCAGGGCGAATCCAGGATCCGCATCAAAATTAAATGGATCCTAAGCACTGGCATAAATGTTTAAAACACATCCTACAACGTCAAACAGACTGAAAACATCAATCCAATTCGGCTCAATATAAAGCGGCCATGCAATGTTATGCACATTGATAGTTCCCATATTCGCCGCTTGAACACACAGCTTAATTGTGGCGCTGCATGTCCGAATTGTTTATTTTTAATCTTTTTGACAGATGACGAGATCCTGCAATTTAGTTCCATATTTGCCTAGATTAAACATCAGGTCTGAATATCATTGAGTCTCGAGATTGTCCAACTCCGATCCATTTTACCGGCAATCCTAAATAAAATAACATTATATGTTGTCATATATTTAAAAATAAATTTAGAAGCAAAACCTATTCTTTTTAGTTTAATCTAATCTTAAGCAATTGTAATATTTTAGTATATATGGAAAGTTTAATCTAATCTTAAGCAATTGTAATCGTTGAAATTGATTTAGATTTTAAAGAGTAAAATTGTTTAAATTCGAAAAATCATGGTCCATGTTTCCTTTTCTTTTGTTGTCCCGTCCCTGTCCTGTCCTCTCCTCTCTCGTTCTGTCCCGTCCTGTCCTTTCCTGTCCTGTTCCATCATGTCCTACCAATCTCATTCCATCCTATCCTATCCCATCCCATCCCATCCCATCCCATCCCATCCCATCCAACCCTTACCTAGAAGTTGCTCAATCTTCTGGACATAATCCTTGGCGGGTTGGGGGAGGTCCTCGAAGGCTCGGCACCCGGTTATATTTGTCTTCCATCCAGGCATAGTGATGTAATCAACCTAAACAATATGGCGTCAATTTCATATCCCAAAATTTTTTCCTATTGGGCAACACTTGAGAGATCAGAGGGACTGTTAGCGTAACTTCAGGTGTACCTCCATGCAAAGATGGCAAAGCACAAATTACAACGGTACCCTTAAAAGTTATTGTCTGATAAGTATGAATTATAGACACGAATGTTTAGATTTTTCAAACTAATCGTGAATTGTTGTGAATCGGGTATTGCCATCTTTGCATGGAGGGTCACAGGAAAAAACGCTTACAGTCCCTTTAAATCTAGTTATTTAACTGCCCAAAACAGTGATGATAAAAATTGAAAAATTTCATAAGATGTTGAAGGCTGGCAGTGTACTGTAGTTTCTGGGAAGGAAGTGTACTGCAGTTTCTGGGAAGAAAGAGTACTGGAAATTCTGGGAAGAAAGTGTACTGCAGCTTCTGGAAAGAAAGTGTACTGCAAAACACAAATCTCATTTGTCGAAAAATGAGAAATTAATAAAAATTTCCTATATCTGAATAGTTCTTTAAAGTTTTAGCATACAAAAAGGCGATTGGATCCAAAGCACTGCGTTTTATGTACGAATTACCTCAACGCCCTTAAATTGGTACTCGCTGGACGGATAGTATTGGATCTTGGACCCGTTCTTCACATAGTCCACTCCAATCAGAATATTCTCCAACTAATCAAACAATATTCAGTTTGTTTTTAGGAAACACAAAAAAAATTCTAAAATCTAAAATTCATTAATTTTTTTTAAATTTTTATTCCCAGTTCGTCTTTCGAAAATTTGCACCCCCCCGCCCCCTAAAAAAATGGCTCGAATTTGTTTTTACTCTTCAGAGTTGTCGCTACCAAGATTTTCTTTTTAATGTCTTGTATCTCGGGAGATTGTCTCTCCTAAATTGGTCTTTTTGGAAAAAATCTCCAAAACTGGATCCACTGGAAATGGTCTTTTATGAATTTGGAGATTGTCTCTCCTAAATTGGTCTCTTTGGGGATTGTCTATCTTAAATTGGTCTTTCTGGAAATAGCCTCTCTGAAATTTGTTCTACTGGAGATGGTCTCTCATGAATTTGTCTCGTTAGAGATAGACTACGATTTCACTCCAGAATTTATCCCTCCAAAAATGGATCTTCATGAATTTGTCAAAACTTTTAAAATTTGTTTCTCCTAAGTTTGTCTTGTTCCCTAAGGCCGAATTTAAAGAATTTGAGCCGCGGCTTAAATTAATATGGTAGGTTCCACTTAAAATTGTATTCAATGTTTTACGATTTAAGCCGGCGCTCAATTGAAACTGACTTTTGGAGGATTTGATACGCGGCTCAAATTCATTAAATTCGGTCTCAGATTTATTATAAAACTGAATATTTTCCTTGTCCAGAATATCAAGTTTAGTGAGGGCAATTGCTGTATACCCGTTCACAGTGTTCGTATATCTAAATTATCATAAATATTAGTTAATATATTAAATTGTAATCTCCGCTCGTTTGTTTGGATGTCCGATCATAATTCAGGAACCCCTGGGACCAATTTGCCTCGAATTTAGATGGGAGAAACTCAGAAGACCCACGGAAATGTTCTTAGCTTGGTTTTGGTGGGTCGACTGTTATTCGGAGAAAAAGAGTAGTTTACCTTCAAGCGCGGGTAAACAGCGATTAACCTGGGCAACGCAGGGTTCCCAAGCCAGTTAGTTGATAAAAAAACAGTTTATTTCATCGTTTTTTTCATCCGATTTCAAACATTAGATTTCTGGGCTTCGACAGCCTGGCCAAATCTAAGAAGTGTTAACTTTTGGGTCATTCTTTATCAAGTCAGTCACCCCATGGAAATCAATGTCATGGATTTGCTTTGGATTTTGCACACAGCTAGCATAAAATTAAAAAAATTATGTCTGGTTAAATTATTGCGAGTTCGTAGACAATTTTAAAAATCCTTTGCCTAACCGAAATTTTGAAGGCTTCAAATAAAATCCAAGAAAGATCAAAGGAAATGTAATAAAACTCTAAATTCTAGTCAACTGATATAAGAAACCAAATTAATGAGATTTTAAGCATAATTCAAGCGAGACTCATTAAAAGCTCTTGTCAAATCAAGTATGAATTATAACACCAGGTTATTGTTTCTTTGCAATGTTGATTTTCATTTCCGGTTTCTCTACAAAAGTGACTTCCGCATTTCTTGCTTGATAAGAAGATATGGAGATAAATTAGAATTAAATACTTTCCAAGTCAGAAAAAACTATTTTTTCTTTCACACTTTTGATCAGATTAAGGTTTCAAGGGTTCCGTTGTGAAAGAAGCAAACTTTACATAAAGGCCACTTAAACTTGCAATTACAGTTCCTTAAAAAAAAGTAACCTAAGAAGAGGAATATCCAGCCATCCACATCTTCTTGGTCTACCAGTAGTTACTCCAAACTCATGACCCTCCTGGAAACATCGATAATAATAATAAAATAATGATAATAATTTTAACAGTAAGTAATTACTTGAAGAAACTGTCCAAATAATCTTCATTTTTAAAGTGGTATCCTTAAAAGTCTTCTCTGAGGATGAATGAGATTTCCATGTTTTTCTCTTTAAAAATTAAATCTTTTTAGTTGATTATTCCCAACACAATGGAGGAATCTGAGAGAACAATTTTAAAATAGAAAACTACAATATCTTCAAGACTATAGATCAAATAAAGGTTTAAAGGTTACCTTTGTAAATTGAGAAATGGGCATGTATGTTTGTGTTGAAAATTGTGAGTTAGAAACATAGATAAATAAATAAACATAGATAGCTTATGTACGCAAAATCACCAAGAATTGTACAGTCCGCGAACTCATATTTCTGGAGGTCCAAGTATACTTCAATGATAAGCGGGGTGGTTTGGTGTTTTAATGGATTTCATAATTATTAAACCACTCAGGAGTGAATTTTATTTTGAGAATATCAAATTATTTCACTGAGCAATATATCATATTGACGAGAACTGAAGNTATCATTGAGAAGTAAAAATTGTCCTATATTTTAGCTCCCTAGGACAGGTTAATCCTTAAAACATCTCTGTACATTTATATCTTTCAAGATGAAAAATGTCGTCTTATGAGCAATCTATCTTTATCTATGGTTAGAAATTGTTTCAACTGTTCAATTGGTTCATCAATTATCTAAATCTGTGAACTTCTGCCTCAAGAACCAATAGAAAATTATTTTAAACAAAAGTTGAACCAGATGTACCTAGTTCAACTACTTCCAACTTTATGCATAATTTTCGATGCTAGGTACTTATCCAAAGGCAACTTCCCAAGGGAATTTTCCCAAGTGGCAACTTCCCAAGTCTGTCCTTGCTGAAGTGCTCAGCATGGGCCCATCCTACCTAGCCGCATCGCCCGCCCCCCCCCCTCCGTTGCATCCTGCGAAGCCTTGGAAGGCCTAACCTAACCTTTGGAAAGTTGCACATTTGGGAAGTTTCACATTTGGGAAGTTGCAAATTTGGGAAGTTTCACATTTGAGAAGTTTCACATTTGGGAAGTTGCAAATTTGGGAAGTTTCACATTTGGGAAGTTTCACATTTGAGAAGTTGCACATTTGAAGTTGCACATTTGAGAAGTTGCACACTTGGGAAGTTGCCTCTGGGGAAAATGCCTTTGGGAAAATACCTAAGTTTCCATCTGTGAAACTATAAAATCCCACCTTCTGAAGGAAAGCTCCAGTATCATCCAGGAGTTCGGTTGGGAAAGGACCATCTCCTACTCTTGTAGTATACGCCTTCACCACCCCAAACACGTCACCGATAAACCTAATTATATGTTTTTACTTAATTCTTACTTACTTACACTCCCAGGTATACACCAGTGGTTATATTAAATATTTTTGGAACAAAAAAATGTACACTTTATGTAAAAATATCAATTACACAAAAATAATTTTTTTTCAAATAATTTTAAGCTAAAAACTTTTTTGTTTCTGATCTAATTAAAAATAAACCTGGGGGGTAGCCCTAGACCAGTACAGACCCCACCGATGCTGCAGTTGGAGGAGGTCACATACGGATATGTTCCTAAAAATAGACAAGAGGTCATTTCTTCATTTATATGAGGTCACATATGGATATGTTCCTAAAAATAGATATCAAGAGGTCATTTCTTCATTTATAGGAAATTTCGAAGGTCCCATTTGATAATGTTCTTAAAAATAGATAAAGGGGGTGGGTGGGAATGATTTTGAATAATGTACACGCATGAGATAGTAAAAGGTATATTCTACACTTTTAATGAGGTCATAGTAAATAGTATAAAAGTACTTGGACAATTTATTAAAATAAAATCTGTTTGACGACGACTTTTAAACTCACCGAAATCAATATCCAGCATAGCAGCGTTAGCACCCTCTACCAGTACATTCTTTCCTCCGGCTAGCCTATAAAATCATATTAAAGGGACTGTGGACGATGATTAACAACATCATCCTATAAACATTTGTTTATGAGTAACAAAAAAAGGGCATTGTCAAATTTAAACATTTTAAGAGTTAAATTCTAGTAGCTTTCTTTCTTATTAATACATTTAAAAAACAAAAACAAAAACGGGGGGAGGGGGGGGGGTTTGAAAAGCTTTTTAAACTTTAAAAATGCTTTTAAGAAAAGCAATAAATAAAGACCGTCAAAACGATCTGTATGGAATTGAAAATGATAGAAATTGATAATTTATTTTTAAAACTTACTTTTCATGAAGATAAGAGACGGATTCAATGACGAGAGGTTTAATTCTAGCGGCATATTCTTTATACCTCTCTAGTTCACTAGCTTTATCCACCTTTATAACAAATAAGAGGTTTAATCCTAGCAGCATATTCTTTATACCTCTCCAATTTACATCCTTTAACCCAATTTATAACAAATAAATGTTTAATTAAATGTTTTTTTTTTTCTATTCCACTGTATGGGTTACCAAAGGCTAAGTTTTTTAGTTGGGATCTCACTTAGCCCCGTCAACTGAACTAAAGGGACTGTAAGCGTAATTTCAAGTGACTCTTAATGCAAAGTTGGCAACGACCAGGGGGATGATAGTTCTCTACCTGTGTGCTCAGTTAGCTGTACTGTACACTTACAACTGTTTACCAGGGGGGAGGATAGTTCTCTACCTGTGTGCTCAGTTAGCTGTACTGTACACTTACAACTGTTTAGTAATATTGATATACTAGTAAAGGATTAGCGTACATCATTACTCTATACACTATGAACTCGTTGGCAACGACCAGGGGGGATGATAGTTCTCTACCTTTGGCCTCAGTTAGCTGTACTGTACACATACAACTGTTTACTAATATTGATATACCAGTAAAGGATTAGCGTACATCATCTCTCTATACACTATGACCTCGTTGGCAACGTCCGATTTTGAACTGTATTAAGTATCAATTATATAATATATATCCATGTTTTTATTACTTTTAACTGTTTAAATTCATTCCTGTGAAAGTGACTTGTGCATTTCTTGTTCATTAGAATTAATGAAGAAAATCACAGAAATAACAATTTTCGAGTCAGAAAAACGACGATATCTTCCACATTTATGATCAGATTGAGGTTTAAAGGGTACCGTTTTGAATTGAACATTGCCATCTTTGCATGAAGGGTCACTTAACATTACACTTACAGTCCCTTTAATATCCACAGCTTAAGGTTTTAAACTGAATTAATATGTTTCACCTGAAGGCTGGGGAAGGCAGCCATGTAGTTGTCGGCGAGTATGGTGAACTTATTGGAGAAGGCCTCGAAGTCATCTACAAGGTCCGTAATACGGATACCGTTACGGGTCATCTTAGAGGCATAGGTTGGACCGATACCTGAACATGTTACCCAGTATTTTCAAGATTCCTGAGACAAAAGGTTTCTTATTTGTTCAGAAACAACGAAGTGACTTTTTCCCCCTGGTAAACTCGGTTTTTCTTACATTTTCTTGAATTTTGTTTAGGAATTGCAGTACAAATTTTAAATAAATTAAAATATTCAAATATAACCAATTTTACGAGCATTATACTGCAGAATAAGTAGCTAAAAAATGGCCTTTTGCAAGATCTAATCATTTAAGAAAAATTAAAAACTTTATCTTGAAGGCTGCCAATTGATTTAAGGGATCGATGGTTTCATTTAAAGCTTTTTATCGAACATGCTCAAAAATAACTATCAAAGTAAGAAGTCATAAGTTGAGGCTCAAATCCGCCCCCGCCCCCCCCCTCTCCCACCGTCCTGGAAAATATGTCCACCCCTGCAAAATGTTCTGCCCGTCAAAATTGCAATTCAAGACTTTTTCATTTCCCTCAAAGTTTCATGCAATCTTTGATGCGGTCACTGTTGCAATAATTATGCAAAATTTTGCAATATTTTGCAAGGAAATATCAAGTAATAGTCTCTATCTAGTCTTTGTATTTTTACCAATATCATTGTCTTTATGTCTTTGTATTTCTCCGCATCTCTTTCTCAGTGTCCTTTGTCTTTGTTTGTCTTATCTTAATTACTGTCCGTCCCTGTAATTATACGTCTTTCGATTTGTAGCTTTAATCAGTGTGTTTCAATTATTAAGTTATTATGTGGCTTTCTAAGTGTCTACGCATAGTGCATAACGTTTTTTTTCTGTTTAATTTATCTATGAAACTTCTCTAAAACTTAAGCCATAAATCTTCACATTTAACAAAAAGAACTACGAAGGGGGGGGGGGTTGTATTTTAAAATAAGCCTAATCCATAATTTATTTATAAAACTATTAGAAAGCCTGGAGTTTGTGGAAAGTGACGAGGGGGGGGGGATCTTGATTAAACTGGAAAATATATAAACCACAGAACAAATTGTTGTGAGATCTAGTTGTTTCTGGAAATGGAGTTGGTACCAAGGGTATTAATATTTTATGAGTTTCGATAATATGTTTTTTTTAACATTTATTTTTTTCACAGTTTAATTTTAATTATAACAACATTTTTTAAAAGAATAGTGAAATTATTAAATACATCTTATATCAATTTTTGTTCCTCTTTTTTGTAGATTTTCGAAAATATGTGAACTGACATTTTTTTCTGATACTTAAAAGATTTATTTATTGAAGAGATGGGGGGGGAGGGGAGTCTATAAACGGAATAAAAGAGAGAGGGGATCATTTTGATAGTTGAATTTCAGGATTTGAAACTAAACACACTTGTTTTTAAAGAACATCGTTTACTTTTGACTGATAGAAGACGAGTGACGATTGGTTTAAAAAGCAGATTTCATGAACATCAGTACATAAAAGGCTACAACTTTAAATTTATTTCGCGATCTTAATAAAAAAGTTGAATTTGCTTTTTTTAAAGGTGATGAATTAGAATCATACACTTTTTATTCAATGTTTGAGTCTCCATATCAAACAAATGGCTCAAACAAATTCAAAAACATGTTTTTAATTAGTTCCCTCTTGGGTAATTAAAGGTTATGACGAAGAAATTTTTTTATTTCTTTGACATCAAAAAAAAAAAATTTTCTTCTTAATTTTCAATTTACATCATTCTTAAAAACCAAAAAATTGAATGCCATTTTTGTGAACATCAGACTTTAAATTTTTTTCCTTTACAGTTACAAATTTGCCACTTTTGAGATATAATATTTTAACCGTAAATGGAAGAATTAAAATTTTCTTTCTTTTTAAACTTTTTACATTTTTCTTCAATATTAAATTTGTTAATTGGTAATTATTTTCTAAACCGGAGCAGTGCTCAAGCTAAACTGTAAACCCATGGAAAGCTAACATCGTCCAAGATTTCAAAACATATATGGTTTGGTTTGAGCACTGCTCCGGTTTTGGAGGGTAAAAATTATTAAAATGTTAATTTTCGTATAACTTGTTTTGTGTTTTGGTCATTTACTAAGAAAAAATTTATATATTTCTGTAAACGTCATTAAATAATATAATTTATATATATCTGTAGCACTTGAGAAACATTTTTTTATTCAAGTGAAAAATAAACATAATTATGCTCCTTAAAAAAATTCAAAAATTGAACTTTTGAAAAATCACAAAATTTTATGTCTTATAACTTTGTTTCTAAAAGAGCTTTCAGCACAATTTTTTCGGTTTTTAATCGGCCTTTTATTCACCTATCTGCAAGTTTTGAGCAAATCTTTTTATTCTACAGTGAAACCCTTAATAACGAATACATCGGAAGATTTTATCAAATGTCGTCTTGACAATTTTTCAATGAGTTTTACTATATTACGTAAATTTCAGTATTTGCGAAAATAAATAAATAGCCATTGATATACGGGAACAGTTTTAAAGAGTTTCATATAATCATTTAATTAAAAAACTAAATATCTGCATAAGTGAAGAATACGACATTTGATGAATTCTTTCGATGTATTCGTTATTAAGGGTTTCACTTTATGTCGACGGTTTAAACCACTGTGGGGTGGGGGCCTGGGGGGGGGTCCTACACAGTTTGAGAGGCGTAAAAAAAGCTGCGGGGGGGTGGGTGATAAGTGATAACGACACAATTTTTAATAATAAGCCATAATTAGATGTAATTTATTTGATTTAAAATTATTGTAATGATTTCACCTTTTTTAGTTGTTCCCAATTTGGTAGTTCCAACTAATCCTTCCCGGTCACTTTCCTAAAATTAATATTAAAGGGGCTGTTTACAGAGTGATATATACGATTCACAACAACACACCCTTCAAACTTTAATAATGTGAATAATATCGTCGGTTTTAAAACTTAAAGTGTTTCATCTTAACAATTTCCTCCATTTTGTTTCTGAAGTAAAAAAGCGTAGGTTAGTTTATTGAATTTAAAATAATCTAATTTCAAAATTAAAGAGACAGACCGGCTATGTAAGGTAGTTAAACTGAGTATGCAGTGTTGTGGACAAATTCTTTAGGATTCATTTGAGATGTATAATTACTAAGTTTGAGTGCATAGTCGACGTTCAAAATTATGAATTGGGTGGATACGTTTTCAGAATCGGTTTTTTTTATAAATTATTAAATAACGACGACGAAAAATAAAGTAAAAATTATATAGTAAACTAATTAGATGGTTAGGAACATATTTATCAAAAGAAATTTGTCAGTAAATCAATGTTTGAATCAATTATTTCTTTTCATCACTATATTGAATTTCTTATTTTCTTTGAATTTATTCGCAGATTTCTACCAATTCTTAAAATGTCGTCTTTTCAATAATAATTCCAGAAAATCTAAAGAAAATCTTTGTGAATAATGAGAAACTAGAATAATGTTAAATGTATGTTGTATATATAGTTAAGATGCATGAATGGAAACTATCAGATAATGTTAAATGAATGTTGTATATATAGTTTATATGAATGACTGGAAACTATCAGATAATGTTAAATGTATGCTGTATATATAGTTTAGATGTATGAATGGAAACTATCAGATAATATTAAATGTATTTTGTATATATAGTTAAGATGGATGAATGGAAACTATCAGATAATGTTAAATGTATGTTGTATATATTGTTTATATGCATTGAATGGAAACTATCAGATAATGTTAAATGTATGTTGTATATATAGTTTAGATGGATGAATGGAAACTATCAGATAATGTTAAATGCATGTTGTATATATAGTTTAGATGCACTGAATGGAAACTATCAGATAATGTTAAATGTATGTTGTATATATAGTTTAGATGCATGAATGGAAACTATCAGATAATGTTAAATGTATGTTGTATATATAGTTAAGATGGATGAATGGAAACTACTAGATAATGTTAAATGTATGCTGTATATATAGTTTAGATGCACTGAATGGAAACTATCAGATAATGTTAAATGTATGTTGTATATATAGTATTAGTTTAGATGCATGAATGGAAACTATCAGATAATGTTGAATGTATGTTGTATATATAGTTAAGATGGATGAATGGAAACTATCAGATAATGTTAAATGTATGTTGTATATATAGTTTAGATGCATGAATGGAAACTATCAGATAATGTTAAATGGATGTTGTATACATAGTTAAGATGCATGAATGGAAACTATCAGATTTAGATGCATGAATGGAAACTATCGATGTATTAATATACTTAAGATATTGCTCTAAAAATCTTACCATGTTTTCATGTTATTATTTTTATTAAAACTTAGTATTTGTTTTAATAAAAATATATTTGTAATGTATATCAATTACCAATTAAACGCCAAGATTTCTCTGCAATCGGAGAAAATATAAGTTATTATTACAAATATCTTAAATAATAATATCTTAAATACTGAACATGAGTATCATATATATTTTTCATTAATTTTCAAAATCCACGAAATAAATGTGATAAATCTAAGTTTATTTGTTATTATTTTGTAATTTTAGCAGAGGAGAAAATGCCGCAGATAGAGCAAAAGTTAAAATCGAAAGCCTAGCAATACATAATTATATATATAAATATAAATATATATAATATATATATCATTTGTGTATATTCTTCTCGTATTTCTGTTTAGATACCCAAGATATGGAACATATGCAGATTAGTAACAGTAAGGTTATTGTGCACATTAATTGTACAAAAAATATATTTTTTTATTAGTAAAGCTTTAGAAATGATGAAAAATGCATTTCAGTAATACTTCTAGTTTCTAGGTTAGCAGAATTAAGTAAAAAAAATGACAAAGTATTGCCATAAAAATTTAGATGGTAGGAAACCACATAATTTAAATAAGAGCAGAACTGAATTAAAGGAAGTGACTGGCTAGACATGGAAGTTGAGATGAGAGTGCAGTATTGTAAAGAATTCTTTTAGAAATCAATGAGACCACTAAGACGTTTGTACGATGTATAATTTCTAAGTAAGAGCGCAAAAATAGATCATTAAAATCCTCTTCGGCTTCCTATAAATTTCTCTACAATACTGCATTCTCAGCTCAACTTCCATGTCTAGCCAGACACTCCCCTTAAAAGACTAGCACATTCACATCAACACTCAAAAAATTAAGACTAGAAATTAAAAAAATTTCAAAAATTATAGAAAAATGTTTGAGCTGACCTGCATACCATCCGCTGCCTGATGGAAGTCGAACACAAGATGGGCTCGATCAGAAACCTGAAATTTTGATTTTAAAAAAATATATATTTCAAATCATTTATTAGGTCACAAAAAAAGAAACATACATATTACTTAAAGTAACTGACAAATGTAAGTATTGTGGCCGGGGAGCTACAAGATAACTCAGGCCCTGTAAATAAGAATGATAAGATTTCAATTTATTGCAATGAGCATGAATAAAGCGCAAAAATGGTGGAGTGTAGCGGCGGAGGCGGTTGGAGAACAGGAAGCGGAGACAATGCAATTTTTAGCTACTGTTAGGGAGAAATTTATTAGGAAAATTTAGTTTCGCGTATTTGAGAATATCAAGCTGAGATGGGAACTTTTGAATGGGATATCCTTAATCCTGATCGGATAATTAATCTGGAGATTAAAAATGAGTGGAGAACAAGCAATATTTAATCTGCAGATTAAGAAAAAGAGTGGATTAAGCCTTAATCCCGATATCCACCATTCTAAAGTTTTCAGCTCTGAACAGTCAACTTATTTAGGAATATTTGACTGAACAGTGAACAGTCAACATATTTAGGAATATTTGACTGAACATTAAATATGTTTATAAATATTTGACTAAATTTTTTACAGTTAACATAATGAGGTTTATTATTACCTTAAGCCTGGTTTCCCAGCCGGTCAACCCCTTGGCAATATTCTTCTCGAGCTCCTAAACAGACAGAGCAAACTTTAAAGGGAGTGTCTACGGAATTTCAAGAAATTACAGTGTCATAAATTTATCTGAAAACATGGAATATCTGTAAATTATACAGTCTTAATCTAGGGGAAAAACTTCCCAATTAAAAATATTTATTAAATCATAGCAATTTTTGTACTCGTCTGTGCTGTAACAAGATCAAGGAATCAAGGAACCAAGGAACCAAGAAACCCACGAATCAAAGATTCAAGGATTCAATAAATCCATAAATCCTTTTATTAATGAATCAGTTTATCAAAGAATCAATGAATCGATAAATTGTTTAATCAATGAATAAATGATAAATTTATGAATGAATGAAAGCATGCATGAATTAATTAATGAATTACTAAATGAATGAATGCAAGAATGCACGAATGAATTAATGCACAACTGAAAGGAAGGATAAACATTGGTAAATGTGAGAAAGGATGCAAGGATGAATGAATGAAAGGATGAAAGGGAGGATTAATGAATGAATAAACAACTGAATTAAAGGAATGATAAATTAATGAATGAATGAATAAAGAATAAAATAAATAATTCAACAAGCAAACCTCAAAGAATCCTGGCATATGGACGACTACTCCATTCCCAATTAGGGACTCAACCCCGGGCCAGATGATTCCGGAGGGAAGGAGATGGAAGTCGTAGGACTTGTCTCCTACAACAACAGTGTGACCTGCGTTGTTGCCTCCTTGACACCTTAAAAAGAAATGAAAAATGTGATGCCATTACAAAAATAATAATCAGAGAACCCATCTTTTATATTGTTCATACTTTCTTGCATTACATCTGCCTTGTTTTACAAACAGAAGAATAACAAGTAACTTCGAATACAGATTTATTATGTTAACCACTGTAACTACTACTACAAACCTGTATAGGGGTCCTTGGAGTAATCCAAAACCTAAACTAATAACACGCTTACCGTTTGATACTTTCAAAACAAAAACTTTCAAAACAAAACAATTTTTTCCGAAGTGCCCTTTAAAACTTTATCTTAGAACTTTAGATATTAACGTTTATAATATTGAAAACTGCTCTAAACCGTGGTTTCTCTACCAAAGTGACTTGTGCATTCCTAATGCAGGAAACATATCATTATTATTATTATTATTATTATTATTAAAAGAGAACTCATCGTTCAATAAAGTTAGGGCCGGAGCTCCTCCCCTGGCGCTTACAGTTACTTCATTTTCAAAATGGCATTTCACAATAAAATTTTACCCAAATAGGAGGCAACAGAGAAATGAACCAATTATACACGACGTCACAAGTGTCAAATAGGAAAACGAAATTTTCTGCCATCAGTTGACATGTTTCCAAGATTAAATAATAAATATAAAAGTGTAAGAACAGAAAATAACATATAAAAATGCACTTATTCTACTGTAAGATAAGCACTTTATTCTTTAATTATCAATATTTATTATAATTTTGTCGGACACAAAAACTGAGTTGACACTTATGACGTAAGAATCATCTGTAGTGAGAGTGTACAAATTCAAAGTTGCCATCTATTGTACTAGAATCTATTTGATTTAACCCAACAACATTAACACAGATCAAATTCTGAGTTGTCATCTATTGTACAGAATCTATTTGATTTAACCCTACAACATTAACACAGATCAAATTCTGAGTTGTCATCTATTGTACTAGAATCTATTTGATTTAACCCAACAACATTAACACAGATAAATTTTTCCTAAAAGCATTTTCCCAATACAAAAATAAGCTAAATAACCTTTGATATATGGCAATTGTTGAACATCAATTAAATAAAATTTTCATTAATGGCAAAAAACCTTGGACAACTGTTAAGTTCTAGAAACCACTTCCGTTAAGATTTAAAAACTGGATGAAAGTTTATTGTATAACATTGCAGGTTTATATACGATATACCTGCAAACCAAATCCATTTGACCTGCTAAGAGGTCAACAACCTTTCCTTTACCCTCGTCACCCCACTGGGCACCCAGGACAACGGTCACCTAAACAATTTTTGGGTAGATACATGATATAATTTTGGTATATTCATAGAGAACGATTTTTGCCACCCCACCCCTCCCATATTTTTTCCCGTATCACCTCCCCCCCATCTCATCAACAGTCCTGTTTTTTATCCATTATCAATTTTCCGTTACAAACCTTATTTGTTCTCATAGGACAGACCCGATATTTCACAATACATTAAAGGCAAATTAAGATTTGAAATACTGAAGTAGAAGTTCTCAAAATATACAATAATTACCTTGTTTTCCATCTTAACTCCGTTTACAGCCATTTTAGGTCACTACTACAGCATTAGTTCTAAATAGAAAAAATGTTGGTAAAAATACAAAGTGTGCTAACCATTGTTTTTATAACTATACGTTATAGCGTAACATTGACTCTGATATGACAAACGGAATGGACCTGATCAAATTGTCAATTACGATTAAAATCGTTAACGAACGATTATTTACTTTTCGTTCAGTTTCGTTCGTCTGCAACATTCCTAACATATAACTCCCATAACATGGGGGCCCGGGGCTCTCGCGCACAAGTTCACAACTGAAAATAAATGAACATGAACAAAATTTAGGAAATATGTTTACGGACTACACAGCTGTCACAGCTTAAATCTAATTTGAATTAATAGCAGCTGCTGGCCCAGAGTCAAGTCATCTAAACCACGGCGTAATCAGGTTGGTTCAAGCAGTAGGGGGAGTGCTGTAACTTAATTTTCCCTTTTAAATTTACAGAGTTTTGTTTGACCTACACCAGCTGTTTATTTTTGTATTATTTGAGGGTTAGGTTAGGTTAAGACAATATTTCTGGGCCGAGCGCTGCTGGGGGATCGGGCGCTGCGGCCACAATTCCACTTAGCAGCTGTAAAACCACGTTCTAGAAGGTTGGATCTGTAGTATAGCAGATTTTTACGTAGGTCAGAAGGGAAGTATAGCGGATTTGCGTAGGTCGAAAAATACACCACCCCTCACAGCTGTTGCCAAATGAGCCAAATCATTGCCAATTTGCCGTGAAAAACAAGAGCCGTGTTTCGACAATGCCGCAAACATTTCCAATTCCCTATAACCATTACTTAACTCGTTGCGCCGGTTGTTGCCAATCCGAAGTATCGAACCAAAAATCAATAAAACATTTGAAATGGATTACAAAGCAGAGTTGACATCTACCGGAGGTTACATCTCAATCGGCTATGCCGAAAATGTAGAAAACACCGCCGAAGTAAGATCGGCGGTGTTAAATGGACGATTGAACAGCACTGTGTTACGAGGATGCCTAATACCAGATCCTTTACTAATTACAGTTGCTGGGAATAAGGTTGCTCTAGCCGAACAGAGGAACAATCTCAGGTTAATATCTCCGTTAGGGTCTGGGGTCTGTCCTAGTATACGATTTTTGGACCCCGAGTGTACAAATTCTAATTTTGTACATGACCACTTATATTTCAGCAAAATTATTACAATTTATAATGTACCATTTTAGGTTAGGTTAGGTTAAGACAACTTTAAGGCCGAGCGCTGCGGCTAGGACAGGCTAGGGGGGCCGAGTGCTGCAGCTAGGACAGGCTAGGGGGCCGAGCGCCGCGGCCAGGACAGGCTTGGGGGCCGGGCGCTCTTGGCTTTAGGGTAAATTTTGTTCATGTCTTTCACATAAGATCCATGCACAAAATTGATAGAATGGCGAGGGGGGGGGTCCGAAAATCGTTCTTTAGTAAGTTCAACTTATCTGTGTAATAATATCGTACTTGTTTACTTTTCTGTTTGTACTGCAGAACTTCTCTTGTTAAATAATATTATACTGTAGAACTTATCTGTTTAATATTTCTGGACTTCTCTGTTAAATACTTCTGGACTTCTCTGTTTAATAATATCGTAATGCAGTACTAATTTTGTCCTACGGAACTTTGTACCTAATAACATTGTACTGGAGAACTTCTCTGTTTAATAATATTGTAATGGAGAACTTCTCATTTTAAATACTATTGTACTTAAGAACTTCTCTTGTTTTACAATATTGTAATGGAGAACATCTCTTGTATAATAATATTGTACTTAAGATCTTCTCTTGTTTTACAATATTGTAATGGTGAACATCTCTTGTTTAATAATATTGTACTGGAGAACATCTCTGTTTAATAATATTGTACTTAAGAACTTCTCTGTTTAATAATATTGTACTGGACAACTTCTCTTGTTTAATAATATTGTACTGGAGAACTTCTCTGTTTAATAATATTGTACTGGAGAACTTCTCTTGTTTAATGATATTGTAATGGAGAACTTATCTGTTTAATAATATTGTACTGGAGAACATCTCTTGTTTAATAATATTGTACATCTCTTGTTTAATAATATTGTACTTAAGAACTTCTCTTGTTTAATAAATTGTACTTAAGAACTTCTCTTGTTTAATAAGATTGTAATGGAGAACTTCTCTGTTTAATAATATTGTAATGGAGAACATCTCTTGTTTAATAATATTGTACTTAAGAACTTCTCTTGTTTAATAATATTGTACTTAAGAACTTCTCTTGTTTGAGTATGCAGTGCAAGCATGGTCCCCATGGACACAAGAAGATATTAATCTACTGGAGAATGTGCAACGCAGAGCTCTAAGAATGACGTCAGGTCTGGCAGGTCAAACATACGAGAAAAGATTGATTGAGGTTGGTTTGACCTCTCTAGAGGCCAGACGACTTCATGTTGATTTGATACAGACCTGGAAAATTCCACATGGATATGATAATGTTGATGAATCTTCTTGGTTCAGCAGAACATGCGAGACAGCGAATAGACTGACAAGACAATCCAATTGCAGTTTCAATTTAAATGTAAAGCAATTCAATTCTAATGTGAGAAAAAACTCCTTTTCTGTGAGAGTGATAAACCCATGGAACAGTTTGCCAGATGATATTAAAGAGTCTAAAACCTTAAACATTTTCAAGAACAGTTACGATGATCATGTGAAAAATGTCAAGCATATATAGTGAAAAATATCAAGTTTAAGAATCGCTTTTTATTACCAAAAATGGTATCTAAGCGAAACCAGAACAATAATATAACAATAATATAATATTGTACTGGAGAACTTCTCTGTTTAATAATATTGTAATGGAGAACTTCTCTTGTTTAATAGTATTGTAATGGAGAACTTCTCTGTTTAATAATATTGTACTTAAGAACTTCTCTTGTTTAATAATATTGTACTGGAGAACTTCTCTGTTTAATAATATTGTACGGTAGAACTTATCTGTTTAATAATATTGTACGGTAGAACTTCTCTTCTTTAATAATATTGTACTGGAGAACTTCTCTGTTTAATTATATTGTACTGTAGAACTTCTCTTGTTTAATAATATTGTACTGTAGAACTTCTCTTGTTTAATAATATTGTACTGGAGAACTTCTCTGTTTAATAATATTGTACTGGAGAACTCTCTTGTTTAATAATATTGTACATCTCTTGTTTAATTATATTGTACTGTAGAACTTCTCTTGTTTAATAATATTGTACTGGAGAACTTCTCTGTTTAATAATATTGTACTGGAGAACATCTCTTGTTTAATAATATTGTACATCTCTTGTTTAATTATATTGTACTGTAGAACTTCTCTTGTTTAATAATATTATACTTAAGAACTCTCTTGTTTAATAATATTGTACTTAAGAACTTCTCTGATTAATAATATTGTACTGGAGAACATCTCTTGTTTAATAATATTGTACTTAAGAACTTCTCTTGTTTAATAATAGTGTACTGGAGAACTTCTCTGTTTAATTATATTGTACTGTAGAACATCTCTTGTTTAATAATATTGTACTTAAGAACTTCTCTGTTTAATAATATTGTACTGGAGAACTTCTCTGTTTAATAATATTGTACTGGAGAACATCTCTTGTTTAATAATATTGTACTTAAGAACTTCTCTTGTTTAATAATATTGTAATGTAGAACTTATCTGTTTAATACTTCTGGACTTCTCTGTTTAATAATATTGTAATTTAGTACTTCTCGAATATTGTTCTAGGGAACTTTTTACCCTACGGAACTTTTTACTTAATAATATTGTACTGGAGAACTTCTTTGTTTAAAAACATTGTAAGAATGAACTTCTCTTTAAAACATAATTTTACTTTAGAACTTCTCTGTTCAATAATATTGTACTTCAAGACTTAAATATATTGACCAACAAAACTTCTTAGTTTCATAATATTGTACTTTAGGACAAGAAGTATTCACACTGAGCTTCTCTACAGTCTTTCATCGACCAACAATATATCCCAAAGCTTAAAGGAAATTCATAATAAAGTTTTTTATTTACACCGAGTTACTCAAATTTGGACTTGGTTAAATAAGAGAATACTTGGATATAATCAAACGATAAAAAAAAAAGAATTTATTTGTCAATTTTTAGCAAGAGCAAGTATATCTTAAGTTTTGGAGCTTTTTTAACATTTTACAATTCAAATAGGCACGTTAGTTTGCAATATTTTTTTATATTTTACTTTTTCAAAACAATTATTTTGAAGTTTTGTGTAGAATTTCGGCGCAGCTGAAACAGATACTTGCTTGATTATTTGCAGTTTTAATACTGACCTATCACAAGCAAGGGAAATAGTTAAAGGTTGGTGAAACGTAGAAATCACTTTTTAACATTAAGAAAATTTTGACATTTTTAATCTCTGCAGTCTACAAGTAATAATCTTATTTTAACATGGAAAATGATGACATTGGTAAAAGAAATTTAATCAAAGTTAAAGGGTTCTCAAAACAATTCAAGTACCCTCTAGTCAAAGATGACAATGAACGATATACAATGGTAACTTCGAAACCTTGTCTGATCACAAATGAATTAGATATCTATGTTTTCAAAACAATTCAAGTACCCTCTAGTCAAAGATGGCAATGCACGATATACAACAGTAACTTCGAAAGCTTGTCTGATCACAAATGAATTAGATATCTATGTTTTCAAAACAATTCAAGTACCCTCTAGTCAAAGATGACAATGCACGATTTACAACAGTAACTTCAAAAGCTTGTCTGATCACAAATGAATTAGATATCTATGTTTTCAAAACAATTCAAGTACCCTCTATTCAAAGATGGCAATGCACGATTTACAACAGTAACTTCGAAACCTTGTCTGATCACAAATGAATTAGATATCTATGTTTTCAAAACAATTCAAGTACCCTCTAGTCAAAGATGACAATGCACGATTTACACCAGTAACTTCGAAACCTTGTCTGATCACAAATGAATTAGATATCTATGTTTTCGTTACTTTTTTCAATTGAGATTTCTCTGCGGAAATGACTAGCGCATTTCTTGCGTATATAAAACAATGTGGAAATCATCAGGATTTAGCACTTTTTGAGTTAAAAAATTGTTGCCTATAAAAATTTTGTCATTCGATGTTTTTAAAAATGCACAAAAAGGGGGGGACCACAAAACGTATTACTCTCCGGAAAATTTAAACAATGTTTAAACATAGTCTAGAATAGTCGTAGAACGCTGATTTTTTGCATTTAACTCTAAATTATGTATTGTAACTGCAAAATAAGTTTTTAGAAAATCCGAGCAAAAGTGCGCGCGCGCTTTTTGTGGAAAATGTCTTGACACCATGAAATGAACTTGAATTTGCTTCAAGATGCTATCAGACATGCAATGTTTAAACATTTTTGCGAACTGTTCAGGCATTACATGTTTGAAAGCATCTTAAAGCAAATGCAAGTTCATTTGATGGTGTTTAGATTGCAAAAATGATAAAAAGTAACATTTTCCACCAAAAGGCGCCCAAGTGGCAGTTTAAAAGCGAAAGTTAAAACCTAATTTTTTTACTAGAAATGGGGGCTCTTATAAACGCCTAGTGTTCATGATAAAAGAAATCCAGCCCTCACTGAGAAAATTCCTTTATAATTTAGTTCTTTGATTTAGATCTGAAAAAGGTGTTAATTAATTTTGTTAAGCCTAACTCAAAGCATTGAACCTCGACTTCCTTATTAATTTTTATCATCCTTATTATTATTTATCTAGGTACAATTCTAAGTTATGTTTAAACACTGTTTAAATTTTCCGGAGAGTAATACGTTTTGTGGCCCCCCCCCCCCTTTATACAATTTTGTTCAGAAGTTTTCAAGGGTAATTTTGTAAATTGGGCATTGCTAGCTTTGCATTGAATTGAAATCACGCTCAAACATAAAAATGTATTTTGTTTAGGAACTTGGAAACCTTTGTCTGCTCTGAGGGAGAAGGTTGATATGGAAACACTTATTAAAATCCATAAGCTTAAACCAGAAGAAACTGGAGACAACTTGATCAGTTCTTTAATAAGTAGAGTAGCTGCAAAAGACACATTGTAGCACCCATTTTTTTCTAATGCACATTTTCACCATGAAGAATAAAGATCGTTTAAGAGATCCAACTGATATGGATCTATTTTTTTTATATTTTCAGACGAAAATGGGAGTTAAAAAACGGCCACGATGTTTCTTTGACGTGACGATTTCTGGAACTCGTGTTGGTCGAGTTATATTCGAGCTTTTCAGCGATATTACTCCGATCACGTGCGAAAACTTTCGAGGCCTCTGCACAGGGGAGAAGGGACTAGGGAAAAAGACAGGTGAAAAGGGGGTTAAAATATTTCTCGAAAGATTACCCCCCCCCCCCTCGAGAAAAAAAATCATTTTTTACCGAACTTTTGAAGAAAATTGATTTTTGTTGAGTAAAATGTCTCGACATGGGATAGACAATTATTCCACTATTTTCGGAACACCGCTTTTTAATCAATTTAGTTGTATTTATTTATGTACATGTCTATCTCGATCCTAACACAACTCTTAATTTTTTCAGGGCTATAAATATAATATATTATAAAATCAGCATCATTCCCTGCTCTATTGAAAAAAAATTTTGAGTGGCATTTTTTGGAGGAAGTTAAGTAATTTTTGGTTATGGAATGACTAATGTGTAATATGTCGTATCAAAAATGGTGTAAACTTGTCATTCTTTAGATTTAAAAAAAATTGTGGAGTGGATAGTTATCAAATATTATTATACCCCTTCTTTTTACTAATTGTAGTATAAGCATTTTTATTATTTATTATTGTATATATTCAGGGAAGCCACTGCACTATGTTGGTTGCACCTTTCATCGTGTTGTCAAGGATTTCATGGTTCAGTCCGGAGATTTCTCAGGTTAGATAAGTACAGCTTTCTTTTTAAAAATATTTTTTCATTTTTTACTTTTTCTCTTTTTTTCTTTTCATAAGTCTTTAACGCTTTTTTTCTCTGATCTTTTTTTATTTTCATTCTCTTCACTTTTGAGACCCTTACTCGGACGGCGGTCTGGGGATCTTTCATGATCTTTTTCTTATCTTATTTTATCTTATTCAAGATTTGTTTACTTCTGAATTTGCCTTTCTTTGTTCTGACGATGCCATATTTTTAAAATTTTGGGATTACTTCGTTTTTTTATCTCGTTCCGAATGTTACTTCCCAATTTTCTCACAAGTTCTTTATCCTTCTTTCTCATTTAATTATTTTGGGCGTCTTTTTGTTCTTTCTCTCTTCTCTGTTCTAAATTAGTTCAGTCCCCTATATCTCTATATTGTTTGTATTATATAGATGGTAATGGTAAGGGTGGAGAGTCTATCTATGGGGGAACCTTCGAGGATGAGAACTTTGATATGAAGCACGACAAGTAGGATATATATATTTACTTTTTTTTATACATGATTTTAGATACATTAAATCTGCCACATTCTAAATATTGAAACGAGTTTAATCACCTTTATAACTTTACTTTGATACTGGATAAGTAAGACGGATGCTTTTAACTATTTTCATGTCGGACCAATCCTCCTGTCTATGGCGAACAAGGGACCGAATCAAATGGTTTCCTTGTATTCCTAACTATATTTATTTTAGGCCGTTCCTCCTGTCCATGGCGAACAAGGGACCGAATACCAATGGTTCTCAGTTCTTTATTCTTACCCAACCTGCTCCTCACCTAGATGGGATACATACAGTCTTCGGGCATGTAATCTCAGGTACTGCAGGTTGATAGGAAAATTTGATTGATTTATTGGTTGGGTGGTTGGTTTGTTGGTTGGTTGGTTGGTTGGTTGGTTGGTTGGTTGGACAATGATGATTTTCTCTTCAGGTAAGTTTAAGAACCGAATTAATTGAATGTTTGGTTTAAATTGATTTTTGATTAAAAAAATTATTCCGAATTGATTACGAACTGAGTTATTGGTTGATTGATTAGTTAGTTTATTGATTGATTGAGGATTGATTTCTAGAGATTTATAGTTTAATTTTGTAGGAAAGTAGATTTTCTCTGAGATCGAGGTGCTGCAGGTTGATAAGAAAACTTGATTAATTGATTGTTTGATTTTGTAGGAAATGTGATTATCTCTGAGATCGAGGTGCTGCAGGTTGATAAGAAAATTTGATTGATTGATTGAATGAATGAATGATTGATTGATCGTTTGATTTTGTAGGAAAGGAGATTATCTCTGAGATCGAGGTGCTGCAGGTTCATAAGAAAATTTTATTGATTGATTGATTGAATGAATTAATGATTGATCGTTTGATTTTGTAGGAAAGGAGATTATCTCTGAGATCGAGGTGCTGCAGGTTGATAAGAAAAACCGACCAATGACTGAGGCCAGAATATTCAACTCCGGTGAACTTGTTCCGAAATCCAAGGTTTGCCATTTTTTATTTTTAATATTATTTTTTTACTTTCACATCTTTGCTCGTAGTTTGTCTCAATTATTAACCTTCAAACAAAGTATGTATCCCTGAATATTAACCCTTCAAACAAAGTATATATCCCTGAATTATTAACCTTCAAACAAAGTATATATGAAAAGACGGAAGTCTGCTTAATATCTAATCAAAAGTATAATTTGTTAAGGCTAAAAAGGAGGAAGAGTCTTCTTCTGATAGTTCAAGTTCTAGCGAAGATGAAGAAGATGATAAGGAGAAGAAGCGAGCAAAGAAAGAGAAGAAAAAGTCTAAGAAGGAAAAAAAGAAAGCTAAAATGGCAGAAAAAGTAAGGACAAGTTAGTTGGTGGATTAATCGGTGAATTACTAGATGATTGGTTGGTTGAGTATTTGATTGATCGAGTATTTGATTGATCTATTATTTGACTGATCGATTATTAGATTGATCGATTATTTTATTGATAGGGTTATTGATTGCTTGAGCATTTGATTTGAGATTTGATTTGATTTTTGATTTGATTTGATCTTTGATTTGATTTGAGATTTGATTTTTTATTTGATTTTTGAGATGGATTGAGATGGATTGAGATGGATTTTGATTGATTTTGATTGATTGAGTGATTGAGTGATTGAGTGATTGAGTGATTGATTGATTGATTGATTGATTGATTGATTAGAACGGTGTGGACGAGGAAGGGGAAGCGCATCCTCTTGTGACTCTAACGAAGATTGATCCTGACGAGATTCCAGATGTTCCCAAGTAAGTATAATATCCCCGTAGTGTGCCTTCTTCCTTCCAAAATATAAAATTCTGAATAATTACTCCAGGGACCGAGATTAATGAATTTGACTGAAGTCTCTAAATTACCGGCTGCTGTATCAAATAGAAATCATTGATTCAAAGTTAAAAATTCGTAGGGATTTGAATTGGTGTTTCGAGATTTGAACCGACAGTAGGTACTAGATAGTTAAGCGACCTCTCCAATTCTTATTTCGGTATGAGTGACCTCAAAACCGCCAACGGGGCTGGGATTTACTTTTAGCAAAAATTTTGGAGCTTCTTTAAAATTGTCAATTTTCTTGAGCTACAGTGAGACCTGTAAAACTGTTGAACAAGACGACGATGGTTGTTTTTTTTTGTTTTTGAAAAGGCCAATAAACACAGTGGTCCAGAAAGTGCCAAATTTGAGCAAAATTACTTAGGAAATGTTAATGGACTCCGAATACATCAAAATAGGGTTTTTTTTCGGGGAAGAGGATTTCAAATCTGAGGTCAAAACTGTAGTATTCCTATTCCAAAGTTTTTTATTCCCAATTGTATAACAAATCTTGTTATGACTTCTCGCAAGACCATCTACAAAAACAAAGAGGAAAAAATAATATTAAAGTTTTTTGATGATAATAATATAATTTTGATTAAAAAGAGGGGTGGGGGGGGGGGGGATTATTGGTATCTCTGACTTGTCAGGAAATCTAATAACCTTTATTGTTAAATTGTAAATGCAATTTTAATTTATAATGTTAAAAAAAATTCAGGAATCGGTTTCTGAACAGACAAAGATCTCCTTCTAAATCTGGGAGCAAATCTAGATCGAGGTCAAAATCACGCCGACGACGATCTCGATCAGGTTCACGACGTCGTAGATCAAGGAGCAGGTCGAGGAGGGGAAGGAGTGGTTCAAGGAGAAGGAGTGGTCCGAGGAAGGTTGGCGGGAAGAAGGTAAAAAAATAAACTTTATTTCTTTGCAATCTTTAAATTTTGAATATTTATGTATTTGTGAAATTAGTTTGTTAAAGCGAATTCTAAGATGGCAATCTTTGCTTGACTTTGGTTTTTTATTTATATTTATTAAAAGTTACCTGGCAAAAAGTCACTCAATTATTAGATTTATTAAGATAAAAAAATATATTTCATCCCCGTATGATTTGATTTGATTTAATAACAAAGTAAAAAATATTGATTTAGAACTACTATTGTTATATATGGTTAAAATTAAATGGAAAATGAGTATTCCCTAAGCATATTTCTGGTCAATTAATAAAAAAATTGTTGTTTTGGGGAAAGATTTTTAGATGTGAAAGACCTGGGAAATTGTTCCCATTATAAATATTACATTATATAAGAGTGTAACCAATGCTTGGCTTATTTTATGATATAAAAACTGTGAAATGTCCGAAAAAACTATTTTTAAGATGTAAAAAATTTGATTTTAGGACTGCTCTTGTTATGATTGTACCAGTGCTTAGGATCCGGATCCGTTGGATCCGCAAGATTTTGGCTTCCTGGCTCCGGATCCACAAAAATATGCGGGTCCAGGGATCCGGATCCAAGGGGTAAAAAATCAACCAAAAATTGTAAAAAAAAAACGTTAATCCTAAACCCCAAATCTGAACTTTTGAAAGAAAGAGAGATTATACAAATTTCCTCATTTCTGAATGGTTTATCAAGTTTTAGGATAAAAATAAGCGAAAATCTTAAAGAAATGACCGGATCCATTTTTTTTTCAGTACGGATCCAGGATCCGGATCCGCATCAAAATTAAATGAATCCTATGCACTATTGTACACTTTTTTTTGTCACATATTCAATGATTTTATCTGAAATATTGTTACCAAGGTGAAGGGTCGTGGATCCATGATGTTCCGAGCAAACAGTAGAAGCCGGAGTAGAAGCATCACTCCTATTCATTGGAAACAGGTAGCAGTACTGCAGTTGCTGGGAGAAATGTAAACAATCAAATTGACATTTTGTTTGTTAGGTTTTATCGTACAAACCCCTGGAAGTCTCAGTTATAAGTTTGGATTAGCATTTATTTGGTTTATCTTGGACTTTGTTTTCATACTTTTAATATCGTTGCTGGTTAGATAGGTGAATGGTATGTCCCAACAATATTTTTGAAAAGGGTTTTTTATTCTTGGTGTAGAGTATCCTGACATGTACCCTGCCGCCGTTACGAATATCATGTCCAGGGTGGCCAAAATGTACGGATTGTACGGATTGTTTTTTTTTTAACCCTAAAATTGTACGGATTTGTTTTCAAAATGTACGGATTGTACGGATTTTTATCCTGAAAAATACACTGTTTTTTTTAAATTTTCACTCATTTCAGCAAATTTTTCATGAAAATTAAAAAAAAAATTCTCGTCAAAATGAAGTTAGTTTAACTTATTTTCTGCATTCTAAATAATATTAGATTGATTAATGTTTCAATTGACAATCAAAATTCATTCATAATTTTCGAGATATGTCCAAGAAGTGTTTATTTGAGAATATGTTCCATAAGTACTTATTTGATTGCTTATTCAAGAAGATGTTCCAGTATCCTGTACCCAGTATCCTATTCCCAGTATCCTGTACCCAGTATCCTGTACCCAGTATC